CATCCAAACTGGGAAGGAAGTAAAATTGTCTCTGTTTGCAGATGACATGATCTTATATACAGAAAATCCTAAAGAATTCACCAAAAAACCCTTAGAGCTAATAAACAAATTTGGTAAAATTGCAGGATACAAAATCAACACACAAATCAGTTGTGTTTTTATACACCAACAACAAACGATCCAGAAAAGTAATAAAGAAACAATCCCAACAGTATCAAAAGGACTAAAATACTTAGAATTAAATGTAACCAAAGAGGTGAAAGATCTGTATACTAAAAACTATGACACTGATGAAAGAAATTGAAGAAGACACAAATAAATGAAAAGACATCCTGTGTTCATGGATTGGAAGAATTCATATTGTTGAAAAGTCCATACAACCTGGAGCAATCAGTAGATTAAATGCAATCCCTATCAAAACTGCAATGTATTTTTCACCGGAAGAGGAAAAAAAATCCTAAAATTCATATGGAACCACAAAAACTTGCAAAGCCAAAGCAGTTTTGAGAAACAACAAGCCTGAAGACATCACACATCCTGATATCAAGCTATAGTACCAAGCTATAGTTCTCAAAACAGTATGGTACTTGCAAAAAAAGAAGGCACATAGACCAATGGAACAGAATTGAGAGCCCAGAAATAAATTGATGCACAATATGGTTAACTAATATCTGACAAAAGAGCCAAGAATACTCAGTGGGACAGGATAATCTCTTCAATAAATGTCATTAGGAGAACTGAATATTCATATGCAAAAGAAGGAAACTGGACCTCTGTCTTATACTAGTCACAAAAATTAATTCAAAAAGGATTAAATTATTAAATGTAAGATCTGAAACTATAAAACTCATACAGAAAACAGGGGAAAAGCTCCTTGACATTGGTTTTAGTAATGATTTTTTTGTGTATGACACCAAACCTGCAAAATAAAAGCAAGAATCAACAAGTGGAACTACATCAAACTAAAAAGTTTCCACTCAGCAAAGGAAACAATCAACAAAATGAAAAAGGTAACCTGTGGAATGGGAAAAATATTTGCAACCCATTATCTGATAAGGGATTAATCTCCAAAGTATGGAAACATCTGTTAACTCTATAATAACATCAGCAAAAAACAAATAATATAAAGAAAAAAATTCAAAGGACTTGAATGCACATTTTCCAAAGAAGACATACAAATAGCCAATAAGTACATGAAAAGGTGCTCAACATCACTAATCATTAGAGAAATACAAATCAAAACCACAGTGAGGTATCACATCACACATATTAAAACTTCTACTTTCAAAAAGATAAGAGATAACAACTGCTGGCTAGGATGTGAACAAAAGGGAACCCTATTAACTGCTAATGGGAATGAGAACTGATGCAGCTACTAGTGAAAACAGTATGGAGTACCCTCAAAAAATTAAAACTAAAATTACCATATGATACAGCAATCCCACTTTCAGGTATGTATTTGAAGGAAACAACATCACTATCCTGAAGAGATATCTGCACCCCCATGTTCATTGCAACATTATTCACAATAGCCAAGGCATGAAAACCATCTAAGTGTCCATCAGCAGATGAATGGATAAAGAAAATGTAGTGTACACATGCATATTGGGGTATTATTCAATCACTGAGAAGACGGAAATCCTGCCATTTGGACAACATGGATGATCCTTAAGGGCATTATACTAAATGAAATAAGTGAGATAGGGAAGGACAAATTCTGTACTATCTCATTAATATGAGGAATATTAAAAATCCTAACTCATAGATATAGAGAGTAGGTTGTTGGCAATCAGCAACTGGGAAGTAGGGCAAATGGGGAGATGTTGGGCAAAGGATATAAACTCCAATATACAATGAAAGTTCTGAGACATCACATATAACATGGTGACTATAGTAACAATATGGTATTGTATAATTGAAACTTGTGTGAGAGTAGATATTAAATGTTTCTCACCATACACAAAACAACTATGTGAGGTGATAGATGTGTTAACCACTAACTTTATTGTGGTAATCATTCACAAAATATATGTGAATCAAAGAATCACTTTCTATATCCTAAACTTATAAGTTATATGTCAGTTATATATCAATAAATCTGTAAAAAAAATTTTAAAGCATAAAGAAAGCTAATAGAACACATAGAGATGTCCATATTTTACATATAAAGTATGTTTGTACTTTACATACTGAAATTATAGGAAATGTAAGAATGTGGATGTTGTAACTATAGGTGATTTGAGTGAAGTTCATTCTACTAGTCTATCAGAGTGTGTGTCAGAAGCACAAACTTTATGAACGAATTTAATTTAAAAGATTTAGCTCCATACCAGGCACCTACTCTGTACTGGGCAGTTTTTAATAGCTGAAGGTTAAAAGATGGAAAAGATATGATCTGAAAAACACATGGTTCTTTTGTGAGAAAGGCACCTAATAAAATACTTCATAGTTACAGTGAATCATAAGAAAAAGTTCAGGCCAGAAGAACAGAGAGATGAGGTTATTTTTAAAAGACAATTGAGTTATCTAAAAGAAATGAGGAATGTAGGCCTAGGTTAAAGAATTCTCAGGAAAGGCACAGAGGTGTGAAATGGAAGGTATGTCCATGGGAATATCACTATTTGATATTATTACTGAAATGTAAAGTAATAAGTGGAGAGTGGTAGATTCAAAATTACTAATTAATAGTTGACCTTGGAAGAAGATAAGCAATGCAGCATTTATTACATTTATGGATTGTATACTTTGTTTAGAATTCTTATATTTGTTTTCCTGGGAGATATTACTCTTTATTTTTCTTTCCTCATACTGCTGTTGTGTAATTTTTATGTTTTAATCAGATTAAACTAAACCAATGAAATTGTTTGGGCAGTTCCCTATTTTTTCAGTTATTTGGAAGAATTTGTAAGGTTGGAATTATCCATACTTAAATTTTGGTAGATTTAACCTATAATGCCATCTAGGCCTGATGCTTATCTATCTGGGAAGATTTTATATTTCTAATTCGATTTCTTTGGCGTTTCTAGGTCTATCCAAGTTTCTGTTTCTTCTTGATCAATTTTGTTTGTCCCTTTTTGCTCTGCTTACAAATGTATTGACATAAAGTTCATTACATTTTTAATCTCTGTTGTATCTCTAGTTCTGTTCCCTCTGTCATTTCCAGTATTTACTTTTGTCTTGCCTCTGTTTTCTTGATCAGTCTGGCCAGAGGTCTGTCAATTTTATTTATCTTTTCAAAGAACCAGTTTGGCTTTGCAGATATTCCTGTCCTTGGTTGCATAACATTTCCTTATGTTTTACTTTTCCTTTCATTGTTTCCTTCCTCCTGATTCTGTGTGTTTCTTTTGTTCATTTTATATAATTTAGAGTTGAATGCATAGATTATCTGTTTGCAGCCTTTCTTATTTTCTCTGTCTGGACACAGTTCTAGCTTTACCTTTATTTATGTTGTTATTTGATGAGTGACTTTCTCCCATTTTGGAGTACATGCTCCTTCAATTTGGGGGTCATTTCAATTTTTTGTTAGTTTCATACAACATTTAGCACAGTGCATGACTTGTAATAGTGTTTCAGTAAATGCGCTGAATGGATAAATGTTTAGTGTATGATTTGTCAACTGCAACCTATTATAGACAATAAACTGTTGCATATTCACAAAAGCAGAAAAGTCAGTCATCAAGTGTTTATGAAGTCAACCTGAAGACTCTCTTCTGCTTTCTGCTTCAGAAAGTTCTATGGCAACGAATACTTGCTCAATAAAATTTCAATGCAATTTTCAATTTTTAGCTTGGCAAGTAAGAAGAAATATCCTTAATTTCTGTTAAAACATCACAAACAGTTGGAGTCAGGCAGTCTTAAGTTCAAATGCCAGCTGCGTTCCTAACTACCTGTGTGACTTCAGGCAAGTGACTTTATCCCTCTGAACTTCAGTTCTCTCATCTGTAAAATGGGGGGAAAAGTATCTCTCTCCCTTACTGTATTGTTGTAAGGACTAAATGAGATAATGGACAGAAAGTGCTTAGCCTGGTGTCTGGCACATGGCAGGTACTCAGGAAATATTGTTATTGTTACAGCTATTATCTGTGTGAGATTTTCATGGAAGGGACTCTGTCTTCTACATTTTATGTCTAATGCCCAACACGTTGTAACTCCAGGGCCTAGCCCATGCATGACTGCAGAACTGAATGAAAATCTTCTTTTGATGATGGTGGATGATTTTTTTTTAATGTAGCTCTGAAAAAAAGGAATTCAGGCATTCATTATTCAGCCATGTGCTTCAAATTCAGGGTTAAAAAAAATGTGATGGAGAAGGAATGTTTCTAAATATCTCCTACACAGGTAGGTGAGTTTAACCCTTTAAACTGAGGCATTGGCAAAAATATTCTAGGTAAGGATGAACGTGCACAATAGAAAGGTGATGTTCATTATTGTTTTGTTAAAAATAGACACATTCGCTGAGAAAACTTCTCACCTAAAATTGCTTTCATCTGTGCAACTCTGTGGGACCTTTTTATAATTCCTGTAATGGGAAAACTAGGTTGAAATCATGCCATTATGAGTTTATTCATAACAGGTAATGCATAACAGTACTTGACTTATGGAATGAAACAATGCACAGAATAATTAGCTATGTTATAATGAGACTCTCTTCTGCCTGGATTGTCTGGGTCTGTTATATCAGAAGGTCAGTGGCAATGTTATTTCTATTGGAGAATTTTTTTTTAAAGTAAATATATTAGAAACATGACCTTTAATAATGTCATAAAACATAAAAATCTGTATTTAATATAGCTAGTATGAAACATTTTTTGGCACCAATTTTTGTTGTAATTTAGGCTGAATAATGCAAGCTTTTTTGCTTCTGCTGAAGTCCTCTTTTTTGAGCCTACAATGAACCTGTAATACTTATGGAAAGAGTTACCATAGCAACCTATATTGATGTCACAAGCTCAGGCTTCTGACTTCATTGCATAATGCAGTAGCAACTGGATTTGCAGCAGAAACACCCTGCTAAGGAACAAGTATCTTGGTTCACAGCAAAGAGGACAAAGAAAAACAGCAAGTTATAGGGGTTGAATGCTGGATTGTGAGTCAGATTTAGTTCTTATTTTAACTCTGCTTCTCACTTGTTGCCTTGTTTTCAGTGACTGTGTTTACATGCGTGCACTAAGGTTTGAAGCAAGAAATCTATCTGTAAGGTAGACAGAAGAGAAACCTCAATATTTACTGTTTTGGCATTTGGTGGTCATCTTGAAAAAAAATAAACCACCTGAAAAATAACTTGGAAAGAAAGGAATTACTAATGCCTTGTAGCAGGTATTTACCTAGCTCACAAAGATAAAGAGGACACTTTGAAATAAAAAGGCATCTAGCTAATAAGATGAAATACATAAGCATCTTATTTTTGTTTTCTGAAATGGTAATGAGTAAAGAACAAGATTGATGTCCTAATCTTAATTATAGTAGGAATGTGAAGAACTCCTGCATAAATATGTCATATTTTATAGTTTTATCTATTTAAAGATGTTTTTATATGTTCAGAGTAGAGAAGTGGCAGGCTAATCTGTACCTATTAATAGATAGGATACTTCTCCTGTTTATACTGTGTACATTAATCATAAATGTTCCTTAATTTTACCATGTAAATGTTTATCCTCATTAGAATACAACTGAATCAGTGAAATAACTTTGCTAATTTAAAGTGAAATTTTGAAAAATCTTAATGATACCCTTTTTTAGAAAGGCCTAATATTTCCACTGGACCCTATAACCTGTTAATTATGTCAATTGGTATAGGTTTTATTATACAGTTAATTTCAGAATTGAGATATGAATATTTTAGAATTTGAAAAGGCATTTAAACTAATAAATTTCCTCACCAGAAACTAAGGTGGACACATGATATAGCTTTTATTTTACCAAAGGAAAGTGTAGGACATTTGGATAGAACTATGACCCTTTCCACTCCCTCTATCTATGTTTCAAAATCATCCCAAAATATCAGCAAAAATATAACATGGTACAAAACTTAATTAGTGAAGTTCCATGTTAAATAACTCTCAGAAAGACATAAATCATTTTTTAACTCTTAGGAAATTTTAAGTTACTGTTGAAAAATATAGATCCAGGTATAAGTTGTGGTCATGTGTTTGGAAAGTAGTTAAATGAAAAGTCCATGAAACATTTCAGCACAAATCATTTGTATGAGTCTCAAATCTTATAAAATATCAATAAGAATTTAGTAAAGAGTGTTTTATAGAATATATAAGAATGAAAATTAGTTCTTTTCTTGTTGGCATTATGTCTATCAAACTAACTCATATAGTCTTTCTTTTATACTGGGGGGAAAAACCTTTGTTTGTGTGTTTTTTAGTTTAATTATAGATTTTTATTAACTTTATTGACATGAAAAAATCTTGAATATACATAGTAAAATTTTGTAAAAAAGAAAAAAGTGGGCTGTCTCCATTTTTTTTTTCATCTTAAGCAAAGAAAGTAAGCAGTAATGGTTGGTTACCTTCTGAACTCTACTTTGTTCCTTGCCTTAAATTCCACTGTTTCCGAAATACAACCTTCTAAGTAGCAGAGACTAAGCATACACTGAAGAATCACAACATCAAGGCATCATACCTACGGAAGCTTTAGTTAGTTAGTTTGTTTATTTTAATCAAATTGAGGTCTGATAGATTTAAATAACTTCCCCAGATTAACTGGTGGAAGAATCCATATTTCAACCAAGTACTTGTTCTAGCACATCAGATTATGCTGGTCTTGCTTGATGGCTTTAATCCAGAATCACCTCCCTGATATATGGTGCATTTTTCTTAGTTTGTTACCCCCCACCCCCACCCCCGCCATGGCCATTAGCACTAGAGATTTGAGATAAATTTCATTAGCCTTTTCAAAGAACCAACTTTTGGCTTTGTTTATTGCTCTCATGTATCTCTTCTTGTGTAACAACTACCCTCAAAACATGTTGGTTTAAAACAACCACCATTTCATTATCTGATGATTTTGTGAGTCAGGAATGCAGGTAGATTTTGCCTGGGTCATTCTTTTGCTTCTTGTACTACCGACTGAATTTACCTGGTCATATTCAGTTGGTGGTTGGTCTGGTCTGCTGAGTCCGAAGTAGCTTGACTCACGTGCCTGACACCTTGGTGAGGAGATCATAGAGGGCTAAGCACACATGGGTTTGTCCCTTAATCTGTGTAGCTCAGGGCCTCTCCACATGTCCTCTCTAAGAGAGTATTAAGGTTTCTTACACTGCAGTGGGAACTTTAAGAATGTTCCAAGAGACAGGAAGTAGAAATTGCAAGTCCTCTCAAAGGTTAGGCCTACAACTGGCAAAACATCACTTCTGCCATTCTCTTGGTCAGAGCCGTCACAGAACAAAGATTTAGGGAGAGAGGAAATAGACCCCTCCTATCAATGGATGAGTGTCAAAGAATTGGGGCTATCTTTGTTCCATCACATTGCTCCTGTGTTACATTTTAGTTTTCTATTTCAATACTCTATTCTTTTCTTTAGTGATTTCTTCTGTTTTGCCTAAATTCTATCATTCCTTCCCACCAATTTGGGTAGGCAAATCATTCATTTTCACCATTTTTCTTCTAATAGAAGCACTGAAGTGTAAAAATGTCCTGAAATTACTGTTTTCATTACATTTCAAAGTTTTAGCTATATTGATATTTTGTTCTTATTTGGTGACAAGTATTTTCAATGTGGCATTTTCTTTTGTGATATATGAGATATTTGAAAGTGTGATTATAGATTTTCAATCATATGGGCTTCTAGTAATGTATCTACTTGAAACTTAAAAGACATATCCATCAATGCAATGTATGATCTTTACTTGGATCCTGACTTGAACAGAATTAAGAAAACATATGAGATAATCAGGGAAATTTGAAAACTTTATATTTGAGGAATTGTTACATATTTTAAAAGATATATAAGGTATTACGGTTATGCTAAAAGAGTCCTTTTATAAAGTTACAGATAAATATTTATGGATGTGTCTACTTCAGAAAAATTCAGATGAGAGTAGGTGCACAGGTGATAAAAGATTGGCTGTTAGTTGCATAATTGTTGAAGACTGAAGAAGGGTACTTAGCATTCCATATATATGTATATACTGCTCCATTTACTCTTGTATGTGTAAGAAATTTTACATAAGAAGATGTTAAAACTTGTTCTCCTTGAATAATTTCTAATTTACTTGTGTTATGGTTAGAGAATGTGTATATATAATATATATATATTATATACACACACATATATGTATACACACATATGCATATATCTATACACACACAGGCACACATATTCACATAGGCACACACATATGCATATATATATATACACATACATATATATTCTCTATATAATGTAGTATAATATATTTATACACACACATACACACACACACAATCTTGCTTCATGGATCACTGTATTTAATTTTGGTAAATGTACCATGCATACTTGAGAAGAAATACAGGATTTTCTCTCTTTCTCTCTCTGTTTATCTCTCTATATATATCCATTAAATCAAGTTTGGTGGCCCAAAATATCTGTAAATTTATAGGTTTTCTTCTACTTTAACAATTAATACTTGAGAAATGTATGTTTCATTCTCATATTTATATGATTATTTGTTAATTTCTCTCTGTAATTCTTGAATGTTTTGCATTATGTAACTTGAAATTGGTTCATATTACATATCTAATTGTTAAATCTTATTGGTAATTTGAAACTTTAATCTTTAAGTAGTAACACTTCTTTTTCCTAACAATGTTTCTTATCTTAAAGACTTTTTATTATATTAATATAACTCTTCCAGCTTTCTTTGGGCTATTATTTGCTGGATATATTTCTTAATAATTTTCTCTTTATATTTTAGGCAGGTCTCACACAGAGCATGTAGTTAAATTTTTACTTAGACTTAAATTTTCTGTTTTTAATTGGCCTATCAACATTGTGATTAGTGACATATATTTGCTCATTTCCATGATCTTAATTTGTGCTTGCAGTTCTTTTCCCTGGGTTTCTTTCATTCTTCCTTCCTTCCACTTTTTCTTTTGTTCCTTTCTTGCTCACTTGTTTTCTTACCCCATTAAACTTATCTCATAAACGTTAAGTATACAATTAAATTTACTGATTAGTAAAGATTTATTCTACTTTATCTTCTTTTAATATTCTTGACATTTTACTGGATATCCATTAACTTAATAATGTCAAAATTTTATCAACTGTTACATTTCCCCTTTCAGAACAATATAAGAATACTGTATCAAAGATTCCAATCATTCCTCCTGACTTCCATGCTATGTCTTTTTAAACTGTATCATTTTATTTAATTTCCCAAATTAGACATTTTGATTATTACTTTATAATGTAAATTTTGTTTAGATTTGCCTCCTAGTTTACCAATTTCTGCTGACCTTTTTTTGATCTTTCTGGGATCATTTTTTTCTTCCAGAAATAAATCTTTTAGAAACTTCTTGTGAAAGTGTCTCTCTTAGATTTCCTCTAAAAGTGCTTGAAGTATATTTAATTTATTCTTAATCTTGAAGAAATTTTACTATGTGCAAAAGAATAGTTTGGCCATTATTTTCATGAAATAATTTCTTCAAGAAATGGTTTTTATATTTCTTGAAGAAATTATACTACTGCCCCTGGCTTTCATTGTTGCTATTGAGAAGTCTGCTTGTAGACTATTTATCATTTCTTTGCAGGTAATCTCTTTCATCTGCTTACTTTTTAGATCTGCTCTTTAGCTGTGTGTTCTGCACTTTTATTACAGTATGTGTAAGTATGGATATCTTTCATATATCTTTCTAGAATCTTCCATCTGTTCAGGGAAACTCTCAGACATTGTCTTTGACTATTTCTTTTTCTCCATTCTTTCTATTATTACTTTATGAGCTCTTCTCATTCAGTTCTTCATGTCTGCTTATCTCTTTCTCATATCACATTGCTTTTTCTCTGCTTCATGAGGTATAATTTCTTTAAGGCAGTCTTCCAAATTTCCTAATTTTATGGAGTTTGAGATTCTGTTCACCCAGCCTTGAGGCAGAGCCAAAG